AACCAGCAGCACCAGAAAGGGCCAAAATTCAGGAGCATCTGCAAAATGTAAGGCTGAATTCCCTACGGGCAGCACAGTGTTTCCTCAGGGGAGGTTGCTGGGCAGAAGGCAGCAGCCTGCAGCACACATGGGCACAGCTCTGCAGGGTTTTTGGAGGGGCTAAAAGCCCATGGTCCTCCCTGGGGACCAGCATGTGGCTGTCTGGGTGGGGACACGGCCCCAGAGCCACCACTGGTGCCACAGGAAGATGGGGCTCTGCTGATGGCACCTCACACCTCGTGTCCCCATAGCAGGGTGAAGGCAGGAGGGGATTTATGGGGGGTTGCTCACTGTCCCCATCCTCCCAGGAACACCAGGGACCCCACTGGGTTGTGCTGGCTGAGCCAATGGTGAGGGGCAGGAGAAGCCCCTCGGCCCTCCCCGGGGCAGGAGGCTCAGGGCTGATTTTGCCGTGTTGCTGGTGTATTTTTCATTTGTCTGCACTTTTCTGCAGCTTGCCCTTGGTGGCTCCATGACATTTCCCCTTCAGCGAGCAGGGGTCTGGGGGACACTGCAGCTCCCCTCACAGGGTGACCTGTTGTGATGTCCCTACACCACTGAGCAACCTGCTTTCCCGAAGGCTGCTCTGTGTCTTTGCTGTTACCAATGCTGCCAAGAGCAGCACCAGCTCTCAGCTGGATCAGACACAGAGAGGGGAGTGCTCATCCCAGGGCACAGACAGGGATCCTGGCAGATTCCAGACAGGGATCAACCCCCCCTGCAGCCGCCGCTGGATCCCGGCCGTACCTCAGCTCCGACTTGTGGATCTCTGCAATCTTCCTCTCCAGCTTCTCCGAGTGCTTGGGGAAGAACTGGAACTTGGAGCTGTAACCTTCAGGGTGCTTGCCCGGGTCATAGTCCCCGATCTCAGCTGGGGGAGACAGAGCTGGTCAGGGAGAGCAGCACGACCCCATTGACAGCATCCAGCCCCACCCCAGCAGCCCCACGGCCCCCCGGAGCTGGTGTCTCCTGCTGGGCTCTGCAGTCACCCAGCAGCCTCCCACCACTGGCATGAAAGGACCTCACTTGGATTTAATCCCCTCCAGCCTCAGCTCCTTGGTAGAGTGGAGACCTTAATTTTTATGGTTCCTGCTTAAAACACTAAAAGGGGGAAAGACACTGGCATTGGAAATAACTCAGAAAGGGTTCAGAGCTGAAATTTGGCTTTTTGGGTTCCTGGGGCACATCTCCCCAGCTCCTCTGAGGATGTGACCACGGGCACCCGAGGACTGCAGGGAGGGGCCCTAGCAAGGTGCCAGGCCAAGCACCATGGGTGGTGCATCACTGTGCTAACAGCAGCTCAAGGTGCTTTCCCACCACCCAGCACCACCCAACTCTCCCACCAGCCTGACAGTGCCCACTGAGCACCCAGGTGCTGCCCCATGCCAGGCAGACACCAGCCAACCCCACGGTCTCAGTGCCATGGGCAATGGAGGCAAGAGGAGGCAGACTGGTGCTGGCAGGGACACAGGCAGGAGGGCAGATCAGGGCGGAGGTTGTCAGAGGTTTTCCCACCTCCAAACTCCACCAGAACTTCTGCAACTTGCTGATAAAAGCCCTTTCTTTGCCAAAGTGCTGGGCTGCAAGCAATGAGCTCACCCAAAGCTGTCTTCATCTGTCCCAGTAACCACAGAACCATGTTTGTATGGCTTGGAAAGGAGTTTTCAGATCCTGGAGTCCAAACGTCCCCCAGCACTGCCAGGTCCCCACTGCCCCATGTCCCTCACACCACATCTCCACGGCTTGGAAACCCCTCCAGGGGTGGGGACTCCACCACTGCCCTGGGCAGCCTGGCACAGCCCTGGACAACCCTCCAGGGCAACAAATTGTTCCTCAGGGCCAAGCTCAACCTCCCCTGGGGCAACTTGAGGCCCTTTCCTCTTGTCCTGTCCCTTGTTCCTTGGGAGCAGAGCCCGACTCCCCCCTGGCTCCAGGCTCCTGTCAGGAGCTGTGCAGAGCCAGAAGGGCTCCCCTGAGCCTCCTTTGCTCCAGGCTCAGCACCCCCAGCCCCCTCAGCTGCTCCTCCCCACACTTGGCCTCTAGACCCTTCCCCAGCAGCTTCGTTGCCCTTCTCTGGCCACGCTCCAGCCCCTCAAGGGCCTTGTTGGGATGAGGGACCCAAAACTGACCCCAGGATTTGAGGGGCAGCCTCCCCAGTGCCCAGTCCAGAGGGCTGATCCCTGACCTGGGCCTGCTGGCCACACTAGTGCTGCTCCAAGCCAGGATGGTGTTGACCTTCTTGGCCACCTGGGCACATGCTGGCTCATCTCCAACTGGCTGTTGACCAACATCTTCTAGGTCCTTTCCCTGGGGCACTTTCCAGCCACTCTTCCCCAGCCTGGAGCACTACAGGGGGTTGCTGTGACCCAAGAGCAGGACCCAGGTCTTGGATTTGTTGAAGATCATCCCACTGGCCTCAGCCCATCCCTGCAGCCTGACCAGACCCCTCTGTAGAGCCTCCAACCCTCCAGCAGATCAGCATTCCCACCCAACTCGGTGCTGTCTGCAGGGCTGCCTTTCACTCTGGAGCCCTCTTTGGAACTGCACAGCTCAGGTCCTGCCAGAACTACCTCAGGCTGTGCAGAGCTCCAGAAAGAGCAGCAATTCCTGACAGGGCTGCTTCTGCCTCTGCAGCAGCACAGAACGAGGAGCCAGGGGCTGGATTAGTCAGGGGGATGCTCACAGGGATGCCACTGCCCTGAATGCAGGTGGGACAGGCCCAGGAGCAGACGGCAGCGTGGTGCTTCTGCTGCTGGTGGGACCCCAGCCCCAGTCCTCACCCGGCTCCAGCCCCACGGCGTGGCACAAGCACAGCCTGGGAGCAGAGGTCTGCACTGGTGGGGTGACATTTGTATTCTAGGTGCAGTGATCTGTTGTAAGTGAAATAATGTAATCAGTGCTGAGCATGGAAAGCAAATTTATCTTGTCAAAAGGCATTACCCTGAAGGATATAGGCGGCCAACAAAGCAGCATCCGACGTCTTGCAGAGGAGCCGGCCATGGTAGAGATCCCTTTTGATCTGCAGGAAGACTAAATACCTGAGGACAGAGGAGATGGTCCATTTATTGAGCAAAGTTCCAATTACCTGAACAGGGGATTTAGATGTGGAATGTCTGCCACGAGTCACTGCAGCAGCACTTCTGTCTGAGCAGGGATCCAAACGAGGGCTGGTGAGGGGGCAGTTCCCCCATCAGGGCTGGGGTTCACAGGGATGGGCACAGGGAGACTCCATGAGTATTCCCACCAGGGAACCAAGGGAAGGAGGAACTCACAGACAAGGGGGCGCTGGTCCCTTCTGCCTGCCAGCCCCTGCAGCCCTGGTGATGCTTCACCCTCTTTTGGGCAGCGGTGCCCAAATGCAACTGGAACCAGCCCAGCCCATCAGGAGGGGCTGAGGTGCCCAGGGGTGATGCTCTGACAGGGGTCTGGTGGTCCTGAGCCCACCAGTGACCACTGTGCTTCTCAGTCCTGCATCCCTGCCCAGCTGCTCAGCTTCCCATCATGGGGTTTTCCTCCTTGCCCAACTGCACTCCCCCATCTCTGTCTCCACGCACCAAAACCCAGTGACAAGAGAAACAAGGCTGGAAAATGACATATTTGAACAAATATAAACCTAAGTCACAGTTTGGGCTGAGTCATGTGGAGACACGTTCAGGAAAACCTTTTGATGGTAGAACTAAGTCCTAGAGTGGAAGAGCAGAAGGGAGCCTGGAGTGCCCAGAGCTGTGGTTGAACCAGCAGCCCTGCACGCTGCAGCCTGGCAGGCACACTCTGCTCCTCAAACCCACATTTCTGATGAGATAAAGCACTAATTTCCACAGATAAAACGTATTAAAGAGAAATGCAGATATTAAAGTGTGCTTGGCCCAAGGGACAGTGACTTTTAAGCCCAGGTTTCAGCTGCAGTTGCAGGCACGCCTTGAGCTGCAGCAAGAGCAGGGGGGACCTGTGGGCGACCATCAGAGGTGGCCCTTAGCCCCTGGGCAGATGGCTTGAGCCTCAGCTGCTCCTCCCCACACTTGGGCTCTAGACCCTTCCCCAGCTTCATCACCCTTCTCTGGCCACTCTCCAGCAAGGAGTTACTGGGTTGAAACCCACAGCCAGTGCTCCCCACCAGGCACAGTGGCTCAACACACCAGTGAAGGACCCGGAGGGTTTCCTCACTTCTCCCCCAAGCTGGGACAACCCAGAAACGTTCAGCTTTGTTTGGAAATCTGAATGCATTCTGCTCTCGACTATAACATGAGGCTTGGCAGAGTGTGCTCCTGCCTTGGCCAAGCCTTCCCTGCCCGGTGCAGAGCTGGCTGGTGCCACCAGAGCAGGGTCTTACCTGGTGATCTCCTCCTTCAGAGCAGCGGGGTCCGTGGGATAGAACTTCACTCGGAAGCACATGGTGAAGGGAGGCTGGGCTGCAGGAGAAGAGTGGCACCCTGGTCACCACAGGGCAGGGGCCAGCCCCCTCCTCCTCCCAAATAACCCCACTAAGGAGATGGTCAGATACTGCTGGGGGTCTCACCTGCCCTCCCCGTGTCCCCCAGACACACTCAGCTGCCCGTGGCAAGGGAGGAGCAGAGGGGCATGGGGCTGTTCCCCCTGTGCTGGCCGTGGCAGGGGCAGATGCCCCCAGTGCAAGGTGGGGAAGTGCCCGTGGTCCTGTCTGCTGCCCACACGACCTGCTCCCGGGGGGCCTGGTGCTGCCACATCTCCTCTGCTCAGCCCCATCTGTCTGTCCTGGCCTCTGTCCCTGCCCGGGTGCCAGGGGTACAGCCAGCAGTGAGTGTGGAGGGGCCCATGCAGCCTGACCCCCCCTGAGCCCCCTCTGACCCAGCAGCGTGGTGGCTAATCCAAGAGGTCCCTTTTCTGGGAGATGTGCTGGGAGCTGCCCCCCGAGGGGAAGGGGAGGAGGAAGCAGAAACACATCTGAAGTGACAGATGTCTCATCTGCCAGCCGGGACGTCTGCTGGCAGTGACACTCACCCCTCATCTGCTTCACGACCGACTTGGTGAACTCCAGCCAGTGCTGAAAGGAGACAAGGCACATAAAGGAACTCAGTGATAAATACTTTCAATTAATAACATTGTCTTTTGGGGGCAAAATTAAAGAAGTCAATGAACCCTTCTCTGCTTTAAACAACCAAACAAACCCCCCTGCTTGCAAGATGTCATGGTGGGTCCATAAGCTGCCCAGCAGGGGTGGTGGGAGGGGAGCTGCAGCCCCTGCCCTTGGCTGGCTGGCAGCTGAAGGAGGGTCCCAGCAGGACCCAAGCCCCAGCAGCTCCCATCTGATGTCACGTTCCCTGCACAGCCCCAAGGAATGCCAGGTCCTCTGTGCCCCCTCTTGGCAGCCCCGTGGGGTGGAGGTCCTGCCACGGGGGCTCTCAGCTCTGTGCTCTTCCAGGCCTTGGTTCACCCTTCACTGCCCGAGGCAACACCCCCGTGTCTGGACACTGGGCACAGAGCTGCCAGGTGCTGGTCCTGGTGTGAAGCTGTGCCTCTGCACGGGCAGCACTGCTGCAAGCCCAGTGCCTGGAGCTCTCCCCTGAGAGCAGCAAATCCTCCTGCTTTGTGGGCACTGTGTGTTCCCCCTGCCCCCTGGGCACCCAGGAGCCCTGCCAGCTCCCCGGCCCACACAACCCCACCGGGCCAGGCAGGTGGCACCAGGGCTGGGGCACTGAGGCTGCTGGTGCCTGCGTGCACCCCAGAGCCCCCTGGCCAGCTCCTCACCCCCAGGGCCTTCTCCCCAGGGCTGCTCTCCATCCATACTCTGCCCAGCCTGGATTTGTGCTTGGGATTGCCCCTCCCCAGGTGCAGGACCCTGCCCTTGGCCTTGTTGGACCTCATGAGGTTCACATGGACCCATTTCTCAATCTTGTCCAGGTCCTTCTGGATGGGTCCTGTCCAGATCAGGCGTGTCAACTGCATCACTCAGCTTGGAGTCACCTGCAGACGAACTGAGGGTGTCCTTGATCCCACTACATCACTGATGAAGATATTAAACAGTGGTGAACCCCCTGCCCAGCAGCAGGGTGGGGCAGAGCTGCTGGGGAAGATCCCCTCATCACTGCCTAAACCAAACTTCATGGAGCTATTTGCCTCACACTCTGCTTCTCAGAGGCTGCACGGACCAGTCTGATACCACTGAGCTGCAGGAAAACCCATGGCCCAGCCCTGGGCAGGAAGGGCTCTCACCCTTTGCTTGTCAGGGTCCACGAAGCGAATGCCAAAGTAGTCCTTCTCCAGCAGGTTCAGGTGGTGGCAGAGAAGGTCAAACAAGTACTGGCCCTTGGCATCTCTCTGCAAGACACAGAAACCCATTTACAAAGCAGCAGGAGGAGGTGGTGGAGCAGAGGAGCCGGGTGGGTGAAGGCTCCAAAACTTGTAAAGGTCTATCAAGGATGGTTCAGATTCCCCCAACCTCCCTGGTGTTCCACCAGCAGTATTTTCAGCTCAGGAACCACCTCTCCCAGCCCACTGGAGGGGCAGCCCAGCAGCAGCCAGGAGCAGGACCTCACCTCACACCGGTCCCCACCCCTGCCCAGAGTCCTGCAGCTCATGCCCAGGAGGGTGAGCTGGGCACCCCACGACCTCTGGGCTCTGTTTGCCTGACCCACGGGCTCAGGCTGAGCAGCAAGGTCGCAGCTTTGTGAGCCATGACCCTGGGCAACCTGCTCGGGGTGGACCTAGAGGCCTGGATGAGATGATCTCCAGAGGCCCCTGCCAACCCCCTCCCTGCTGGGATTGGTGGTTCTGCTGCTGCCATGATCCCTGTTGGAATTCCTCACTGCAGACGTGGCACAGGTCACTGCCAGCTCCCCCCTGGCCCCTCCCCTGGGCTGGCTCCATGGCACCAGCCCAGTGCCAACCTGCTTGCTTTCAGCATACTTCTTCTGTACCCTTCTCTCGAGCTGTTAGGAGAAGACCTTCCCCCTCTGTGCCCCCCGGGCTCTGCCTCACTGCAGCCGTGGCACAGGGGCTCCTCAGATTCTGGCTTTCTCCAGGACCAGCCTCTGATGCCACATCCCCACTCTGGAGAGAGCCAGAGCTTCTGGGCAACGAGAGTGATGGTTTTATAAGGTCCTGGGTGCTGGTACAACTCACAGACAGCACCAGACTGAATATTAATGTGGAATTCTCAAGTGTTACAGATATAAAGTCTGATACATCTCAAAGGTATTAAAAATTAAATTTCCAGCCATGCAAAGCCTGAAGCACACACTGCACCCGAGTGCTGGGGGCTGCTCCTCAGCAGTGCAGGGCCCAGGACCCCATGGCCCTTCCTGTGTTTGGTGTGGAAATGCAGCACCCAAAAGAGCCAGGGCCCCAGGACCCCAGTGACACACACCCTGAACCCCCAGGACCCCTGTGACACCCACCCTGAGCCCCCCAGGACCCTGCTCACAGCTTGCCCAGCTGTGGGGTCACTGCTGGAGATGGGCTGTGCATCCCCTCTGTCAAAAAGCTGATCAGAGTTTTTTCCAGAAATGGTTTTCCTGCGTGCTCAGGGTTTGATGTCAGCAAGTCAGGAAGAATGAGGAGTTCCACCAGGGCTCCTCTGGTCCAGCACTGCCCTTGGTCTCCAGACTCACACAGAGCCCCCTGACGAGAGCTGACCCAGCAGCAATGAGACTCACCCAGAGCAGCACGGAGCCGTTCATCAAACCCCTCACACGACAGCAACTTAAATACTCTGAAATTTTCCATCCAGCTTAGAGCTGAGCAGGACCCATGCTGCCCATGGGGCAGAGCCCAGAGGCACCCCGATAACTCCTGTCCCTCTGCCCAGCAGAGCTGCAGCAGGAGCCACAGCGGGCACAGCTGAGCCCCCAGCCCCACCTCCAGCTCAGCGCTGGGTCAGGCTGGGTCCCCTCGGGCTGTGCCACCTTGGGATCAGAGTATTTGATGTACTGCAGAAAAGCTTAAACCAGGCAGAGGCAGCCCTGGGAAACCCTCTTGCTCAGGGCCAGGGAGGGAGAAGGGGTAAAGCCACTCAGCCCCCGCTGTCCCTGCTGCTTTCTGGCAGGGCAAACAGGGGTGCCCTGGCAGGATGTGGCCCCTCAGCCTCTCAGCCCTCCTGCTGCTGTGCCCCGGGGTCTGCAGAAGAACCCTGGAAGGCTGAGCTGCAGGTGATGGGGACCCGCTCTACAGCTCGTCTGGCAGATCAAAGGCTGCCCCTGACAGCCTCCTTCAGATAACAGGGGTTTCTGTTTCCTGACAAACACTTTAATAGGCCCGTTATCTGATCAAATAATCACTCAGCACACACAGGCTGTGAGCTGGGGAACCACTCTGGCATTAACCCCGTCCTGGGCTTGGCATGAGGAATGTCTCTGTGCTTTCAATAAATAGCTCTTCTTTTACAGAGTCGTGAAGTTCAGGCTGCAGCCACACAGCTGCTGCAACGACTTGTCCCTGGTGCCAGAGCTGGAGGCTGGCAGGAACCAGGGCAGCAAGGAGGTGATTCAATGTGGGGACCCAACGTGGTGACCCCTGGGCAGTGCAGATGGAGCAGGGTCAGAGTCATAACATCACAGAATCATTGTGGTTGGAAGAGACCTTTCAGATCAAGTCCAACCCTTCCCCAGCACTGCCAGGTCCCCACTGCCCCGTGTCCCTCACCCCACATCTCCACGGCTTGGAAACCCCTCCAGGGGTGGGGACTCCACCACTGCCCTGGGCAGCCTGGCACAGCCCTGGGCAACCCTCCAGGGGAACAAATTGTTCCTCAGGGACAACCTCAACCTCCCCTGGGGCAACTTGAGGCCCTTTCCTCTTGTCCTGTCCCTTGTTCCTTGGGAGCAGAGCCCGACCCCCCCCTGGCTCCAGGCTCCTGTCAGGAGCTGTGCAGAGCCAGAAGGTCTCCCCTGAGCCTCCTTTGCTCCAGGCTCAGCACCCCCAGCTCCCTCAGCTGCTCCTCCCCACACTTGGGCTCTAGACCCTTCCCCAGCAGCTCCGTTGCCCTTCTCTGGCCATGCTCCAGCCCCTCAAGGTCCTTTCGGGGGGGGGAAGGCACAGAACTGGCTGCAGTACCCTGCTCCTGGGGTGCAGGCTCAGCCCCTGCAGTGGCTGTGTGAGGAGAGCTCCTCCATCCTGCTCGCCC